GCCTCAGCATATAGCCTACGGGTTCTCATACAAGGAAGTGTTCCCAGAACATCAACCAAAGCACCCACCATCCATATACACCCGAAACATTCCTAGAGTGCTCCTCAGCGGATAAAAACTCCATAACCCAGGTCAACTGGAACTCCCTCATGGAGACCTATGTAGTGGAAGTCCGTAACGCCCGAAGGTAAATAGTCTACTAGCCAGAGACACGATACATCCTATGTACCCACTATACATACATATATGCATGAGCATGTTATAATATATTATCAACATATTCCTCCAACCACTACCCCCAAGGGCATGGTAGAGCACAAACGAGAATTAACCCCAGTACCAAAGGATTACCTTGTGGAAGCTCCCTCTCTAGGTAGCTCCAAATCAAAATACCACCGAGCTTGATCCAACCAGAAATGCCTACACATAGGTCATTCACATTTCAATTATAACCAAATAAAAACATACACGTGGTTATTCAAGCATTCATGCAATTTGCCATAAACACTTACCACAATCCCTTTGGTCAAGGACCAAAGGCAACCTACCAAGCTCACCGTTCCAAGTTCACGTATGTAACAACCCGTTGTACACCGGTATTGTTAACATTAATTATGATATTAAGCGCAGTTACAATCACAACAATTCATTTATAAAAATGCGAGTAAACTTATTCCGTTATTACGCGAGAATTTAAAACAATGAAAAGCGTAATAATTAAAAGTTGTGATCGTAACTGTAAACTCTTGCGAAATACTTATTCAGACTACTTTCATAACTTATTTGAGTTACTACAAGTCACTAAGGGGTTCCTATAAACCCACTTAGCTAATTTCTCAATTTTACGTTTTCTACCTATCCGAACATGGTTCGGTCTTTATTTTCCTGCGGACAAACCGCATTCTAAAAGCCTCGCATCTTTTGATATGTTATTCTACACTCAATTACCTTTCTAGGAAGATATCACATGAGTTATTTAGATCTCGTTTGCTCTGGATATCGTCGTTTGAAGTTGGACAAGCAAAGCTGCCAGCCAACCCCAAAACAGCTCCAAACATCCCTCACTCCACGAATTACTGCAGAAAATCCACTCAACCAATTGCTCTAAAAATTTTATACAACAAACTAGACACATCTTTTGATATGTTATTCTACACTCAATTACCTTTCTAGGAAGCTATCACATGAGTTATTCCGATCTTGTTTGCTCCGGATATCGTCGTTTGAAGTTGGACAAGCAAAGCTGTCAGCCAACCCCAAAACAGCTCCAAACATCCCTCACTCCACGAATTACTGCAGAAAATCCACTTAACCAATTTCTCTAAAAAAAATTATACAACAAACTAGACACCTCAAGCTTCAATTTGATATATCATACACTTAATTTGACTAAGAAACGAATCGGGAATAAATTTCCCAAAACTGGTCCAGAACTGCCACAAGTGCAGTGAACAATTGGGAAGTCTTCAATATCTGCCTTCCCCAGGCCGGAGTTCAACCCAGAAGTATCTCAAATTTTACCACAAGATAAAGGACATCTCCACCTTCAAAATAGCGTATGGAACGTCCCTATCGGACCACTGTGGAGGGAGATATGCTCTGAAAAAGTTCGCCTAAATTCTGCCAATTCTATAGAAAATTCGCCAGAGTTTCCTTTGTTTTTCCAAAACCCCCAAATTGCAAATGTGTTCTAAGACCTCTACTGTACCTAATAATCAATGGGTGGCACACACAAAGACCAACAATGCCTTGAGGCACTTACAACCCAACTCAGTTTATAGTTATTATACAATTCATATCATACTGCTCACTTGATTAATACTTAATACGTTTCAATCATCAAAGTCCATTTACATGCATTTTCTAAGCATACACATAATCATAATCCTAAAATAGGCCTAAAGCCCTTCCATCATATTACATCAAGTATCCATGTACAATTACAACATATTACAACTTACAATTTCGTAACTTTAAATTACAACTTGAAACATGAACTTTAAATGACATATACAACTAGACTTAGGCAAAATGACATGAACAAATATGACTATGAATCTCCTCCTACATACATATGGAATGTTCATGCCCTAAGTCTAGCCTAGGACCAATGGCCATCAAAATGCAAAATATAAAAATGTCCTCCAACACTCATCCTACGGGCTTCTTGCCCGCCGCTCCTGTGCCACTGCTACCTCCTGAAATAAAGCTCCCAAGACGGGGTGAGATATACAAATATATCTCAGTAACCCAGAGGTTCTGGAGAAAACTCCGTCCAATAGCTCACTTCGATGCATATAAATAATACACAATAATATCTTGAAAAACGGGATAAAAGCAAGGGATTTAGAGAAACTGGGGGAATATAGGGACACAAAATACGACGAAGCTGGAATGGTAGCTACCAATACCATGCAATGTCCTGCCTAATGGCTCAGCATGTAAGCCTACGGGTCTCATCCAAGGCGTGTTCCAAGAACATCCAACCAAGGTACCCATCCCATCCACATACACCCGAGACTTCCTAGTGTGCTCCTATCCGGATCACACACCACGACCCTAGGTTAACTGGAACTCCCTCTCGGAGACCTATCCAGTGGAAGTCCGAAATGCCCGAAGGAAAAATTGTCTACTGGCCAGAGACTCGGTACATCTAGTGTACCACTAACATACATAATAAATGCATGATCATGTTATTCTACATTACTTACATACACTTCCTACCATCACCCTCAACGGGCATGGTGGAACACACAAGAGGATCAAGCCCCAGTACCAAGAGGTTACCTTAATAAGCCTCTCCACTTAGCCCCAAAGCAGTATATTTTTCAAGTTCGTTACTCCACAGAAATGCCTACACAGAGGACATTCCAAATTACTTAAAACTCATACGAATACATGCAAGTTATCAGTTATACAAGCATGATTCTAATCACTTACCTCAATCCCACTTGGTCCAGGACCAAGGGCAATCCACCGACTCACGGTTCGGGGTTCAATTCAACGTATGGCAACCTACAACAACCATGTACGAATCATCAGTACACGACAATTCTATCAGAACACGAAAAACGTCAAAAACCTCCCCTACACCCTTGTAGGTTCGGCCTTTGAAGGCTTATTTTATAATTTATTTTTCTAAATTTTCTTTCTCATTTTATTAAGCATCCTTAGGTTACCAAAAGGCCATACCAAGTTCCGTTTTTCATTTTACGTCTTTTAAACGTCGTTTTGCTTAATATCTCACTCTAGGATCCTTTATGACTCTCAACACCATCAATTATTTTTCATTGATTCTCTAACCTTTCAACCACCACACAACCCTTCTAAATACCATTTAACACATGATACATCATCCAAGCAATACCAACAACATCAAATCCCTAAAATTCCCTAAATGGCCGAATTGTCACCTATGCAATTCCAAAGGATTTTCATTCAATTTTAACCACTCCACACCTCATATAATCCCATTATATCAACATACAATCATACAACAACTCACCAATCAAATCCTAACACATTTTCAAAACTCAAAGTCATGACAATCTAAAATTTTCTAGTTAAAAATTTATAATTTTCATCAATAATTTTCATGGCATTTCTAGCTCTAACACATCATTCTAAGACATTATCATCTAATACACATTTTCCAATTGAGCTCTCTAACATCACAAATCATCAATTTCCCCTTTAGGGTTCATAAACTCAATCCAAAGATTCAATCGTTAAAATGGTGAAGAAACTTACCCAAATGGTAGGCACAAGGCTCCTCCTAAACATACTCCACCATTGGAGCACCTAGAAGCTCCATGAACACAAATCTTGCCAAGTGAGCCACGGCCTTTAGGGGAGGATATCTCAAAAAATAGTGGCTTTCAAGGCTTAGGAGTACCACCAATGGCTTTAGAAGGCAATTTCCAATGAATTTCAAGTCAAACTTTTCATGATTTGGTGCTTGGATGAGTGATTAATGGAAGGAGAAAGTTTGAAGAAAATTTTGCAAGGGAGAGGGGGAGGGCGTGGGATTTTGGAGAGAGAAAGGGGTGAGGAGGATGATGATGAATAGTGGAGCTTAGGTGGCTTAAGTGGACTTAAGTGGGGTGGGTCTCACCGCCTCCTCACGCGATTTAAAACTATCTGAATTCTCTCTAACCGTCCGTAAATTCACAACCTATTTAGAAACTCTAATTTTTAATATTAACCATTGTCCTTTAATTATCCTTGATCAGATGAATCCTGAGTTCTCCGGTCATTCGGAGAAAACGCTATTTTAGCTGTTGCGCGCGCCGTTGGCACGCTTCTCCAAACTTACTTATTTCCATCAAATTTTATCAGAAATCATATTTGCTAGTTCTATAGACCATTTATAACTCATATTTAAAACCTAGAGCTCAAAACTCAATCAGCACGCTTTACGGTGCAACTGTACTGCGATATTTTGACCCGGTAAAACACTATTCACTTAACTTTCTGAAACTTGCCTAAACACTAAATTTTTCGTACTGAATCCATTTCCAGGGTTATTTTTATCATTTGAGACCTCCTACTTAATTTTCTTCCTAGGGTTGTGTGCATGGCTAATTTACCTGTAACACCCTCCCTTGTATGCATCCAAGAGAGTTGTTTGCTAAGCGGAATTAGAGTTTTTGACGTCATTACTTTGATACTGAAGAATCATTTTGAGGTTGTTAATTAAAACTTATAATTGAAATCGAGTCACTTACAAAAATCTGAGTGCACTTTCAAAATTTCTTAACTTGCTGAAAATATTATTTTCCTGGCAGACATTGCTGTCTTGAAAAAATCATATAAAATCAAGTTCAACGATCCACAAAAATATTCTTTGTAATATAGAAAGAGCACGTCTGGGGCTTCCCGTGCATATAAAATAATAGCAAATCGGAGGTCGTTTGTCCTTCGAAACATAACTCGCAAAGTGCTCGCAAAACTGTTTATAAATCAGCACTAAATAAACATTCAGAAATTATTTTCGCAAAACGTTTTCAGAATTTCTCCAAAGTAATAGATAATCATAAAAGTCTCACAACAGTAATAAAATCATGGTTCCAACAGTAGTCTAAAGTTCTCCACATAACAATAGTACAGTCATCCAACGTCATCCAACAGACAAAATAACAGCAAGTCCAAACAACAGCAATTAACAGTAAATATCCAAATAATCCATGTCCTCATCTCTTTCGTCCTCCTGCAATTTTATAAAAATTGCAGCCCCATAGGGGTGAGAAAAATCCCAGTAGTGTGATAGCAAAACCAATAATGCAACAATATTAAACTAGGCGCAAAATTGTAAACAGTCACATCAACATTTCATTTTTCGTTAACATATCATAGTGCGTATATAACGCCTTCATTACGCTCATAGCACCTTCGTGCGCGTACTAACATATCATTAGTGCGTATATAACGCCATCATTACGCTCATAGCATCGTCATGCGCGTACATACACAGTGGATATTCCATAATGGCTCCCTCAAAGGTGAATTTCAACTGTGGCCTATGCGGACGGAAGCCAAGTGTCCCATACCCTGGTACCGAAGGGATGCCTATATGATGCATGCTCAAACGTATGCATATTTATATAAATATTCTAATCCATGAACAACATGAAATTCGTGCATGTATGCCATGATATGCTTCACACACAAACAAGAAACAAATGAATTATGAGGTGTATATGCATGACTAGATCATCATCATAATAGCATATCTTTCATGTACTTTCTGTACCAAGCTGCCACATAACAATTACTTCTCATTCATGATTTTCCATCTTGTCACATTCATAGGCAGCATACATGAAGCATATAACATCACATTAATCCAAGGCACATGTGAGCAACAATTCACAATTCTATACGCTAGCTAATAGTCACATTAGGTAATACCACCAAACACTTACCTCGCGTGTCCAAATATTAATCAACGGCACCAAAACCAGCCCACTCTTTAATAATTATGCGCACCTAATCAATGGTATAAATAAGTCAGAACTTTATTCATATCACCTTTTATTTATAAGAAATTTGCATGCCTATCTATTCTTGTATTTCATTCGATTTACCATGCTTCTAGTGCTCACCAATTTCTGCCTTTCCATTAATTAATAATATATTACCATAATAAAATCCTAAGTCCCCAACAATATTCTAGCTTCAAATAATTCTTTATCAACTCATAAACAGTTAAACGAATCTGACATTTCCCAAAGGTTTCATACATATATAGGTTCGACTTTCTTAGCAAAGAGGAGTGTTCAAGCTATTATTTAAATAATTAGTTCTACTAAGCCTAGTGTGTGTGTGTGTAAAAGGGCCATTACACATGCTGTCTAGGTAAATTAAACACAAGCCACACACACGCTAGTTAACTTCTACTATTTTCACAAAACAGGGGGGGTCCTACGAGCTACTCCAAAAAGGACAGAATTTAGGTGCACAAAGTGTTACTCCATTAAGGCTCTACTTAAATTTTCTTTGGCTAGAACAAATAACCCTTCAGCCTACTGTTTTTGTCCCTCAAAGGACATGAGAGACTTAATAAATTTTCTGCCCAAAGGAACCGTCCAACCCAGCAAAACAATGGGTCATGTCCAATATCCTAAGGAGATTAATTTCAGTTTTTCTATGCTAATTTCGAGGCTGTTAACAAACTGTAGTTTCAAGCTTGCATTAGTTACATCCTAGAGCTATTCTAAAGGGCAGAATTCAACAGAAGTAGATGACTAAATTAAAGTATTCTCCAATATGCATAAGAGGGCCGAATAGATAAAAAACAAGGGAAGGTTAATTTCAAGTTTATAAAACCCAGCTTTGGCTTGCATGAATTCATTCTAAGGCTATTCGAAGAGGGGAAGAATAAGGGAGGTGAAATAGCCAAATTAAAACATTATCCTAGCATGCATGAGGAGATCGAAATAGAGAATGAAGGAACCGGTTATGTTGGCACCTTCTTGCGGCCACACCCACAGCCCCTATTCGCACAAGACAGCTCTTCACCCTCCAACAATCCAATGATCAGATTCAGCTGCATATGAGGAAGGAGGAACTAACTCAGTACTGAGACAGACGCCTACAAAGAAACGTGTAATCAGAACCGATTCCAGTAGCTCGGTCACAGAGGAAGGGGAGTACATCACCTCCTTGAATGGGGTTCTCGGTTAAACACAAGGGGAATGACAACTCATGGAGAAAGACTTGAATCTCCATCTGCACGCAGAGAGGGGTTCTTCCATTAACACGCATAGGGCACCAGCGAGCAAGGAAATGGGAAGGTACAAGACCTCCTTTGTTGCTGCAACTTTGCAGACAGGGAAAAGAAAGAGGAAGGCTTAGGTAGTTTGCTCTCACTCACGACACTCGCGGCTTGAAGGTACAATGACTGATGAGATATTATACTCCCTTGTGTTTCTCAAGAGACTTGCAAGGTGAGGGAGGAAAGAGGCTGTATTTACGGTTCAGCATTGAGGGGATGAGGGTTTTAGTCTCATAATGTCACGGTTGCAGCTGATAGAGTTTCTGGGACAAAACACCAAGTCAGACTTGTTTTTGGTATGTTGAGATGCTAGGAGAGAGAGAATTAGTGAGCCAATTAAGGTTCTGATTTAGGAGTCCAGCATCATCAACCTGTTTATTCCTTCTAGCGCACAAGTTGAAAGAGAGGATAAGGAAGTGTGATTTGTGACCAATACAATTTCATGCAAGCTGATTGCTCATATCTCATTGGTTGCATGACTAAAAGGCTGATAAAATTTAGCTAATCCCACAAGTAACCAGCTTGCTTTCCTTAGGCTACAATTGATGGATAGGTTATAAGTTGTGGTCTAGTATGGTCCACCATGGTTTCTTGGGCCGGTCTAATAGAGGGCCTTTTGGGCTCAAGTCTACTTTCTAATGGGTCACCTAATTCATGTGATCCTATTTAACAATTGTATAGTGACTATGACCTTAGTAAGTTATAAATAAAATTAATTCCTATCATAATAATATATGGAATTCGAATCTAAACCATGGGTCTACACTCCAAATGTACCTAAAATTATCAACTAGATTAGTCTTCCAATCATTAACTAAGGGCTTATTCTTTGTAATAAAATTACTCACATACTATTAATGAGTACCCATATAATTCTAAGTAGTATCATACTTTCTATATGTTATAATTAATTTGTTCCTATACTTATAACTAGCATTTCACATGCCCAAAATAGGTACTCACTTTTCATGGTAATACAAATAATTTCCCTAATTTAATTTAACTCCATCCTAAAGCAAACAGTTATATAATCTGAAGGCAAGTACTCTGCCACATTCCTAATTGCAATTTAAATAGCTTCCTAATTAAACGGGATGTTACATTACCGTTTTGCCCTTTCTTTGTATTTTGTCCTAATTTTCAGGATTTTCACTAATCCTTCTCTTTAATTCTCATTTAATATATTAGTATTTAAACTTAGAAATGCGAGGTGTTAGAACGTCTGTGGGAGGCAACCTACAATGATCACACAAGGATCACCAATATCATGCATCTTAAGTTGAATTACAAGACAAAAACTTCCCAATCCCACATACATAGGTTCGGCCATTTGGCCTCAAGATACCTAACCATGTTGTTAATTTTATTACAACGTCCCAATGGTTTCCTAAGCTCACCATAACACCAATTCAAGCCCTTAATTCAATTCAATCACATCTCAACATCATTTCCCTCAAGGTTCCTCATCATGGCCGAATTGACATATACACATCACCCAATGGTTTTACTTTCAATTCAATGCATCAAATCAACATACTACCTATTTAAACATGATTCACAATCACACAACACCAACTACATAATTTTTACATCATCCATCCTTATTTCTCCTAACATGGCCGAATTGTTCATGCTTGTATACCTAGGGATTTTTGATTCATTTCAACACTTTCACACATTATACAATCCTATAATTAATTCATACAAATACTCCACAACTCAATTACACAATCCCACAACATTTCCATTTCACAAAGTCATCCATACCACTCATGAAATTGCCTAAGTTATCAACTTTTTCACCAATAAATTTTATAAGCTCAATCACCATAAAACATCATTCTAAGACACTTTTATCAAATACACATTTTCAATTTGAGGTCCCCAACCCCATCAATCACAAATGCAAGCTCTAGGGTTCATGAAATAAAATTTAATGAATCAACCAATGAAATGTGTTGAAACTTACCCATTCTCAAGACCTAGGACTCCTTAACACAATACCCAAGCATTGGAGGATCAAACCACTCCAAGAACATCAACTTTCCACACAATGGCCGCGGACATGGGTCCCCTTTTTCTCCCAATCTACGAGTTTCATGCCTTGAAAATACCATGGTTGTGTTTTTAGAGGTTGTTTACTAAAAGTTTGATGTAGTGGAAATTGTGTTTTGGTGGAGATTTGGTGTAGTTTGGAATAGATGAAGTTTTTGAGCAAAAACTTGACCAATGGTGAAGGAGGCCACGAGTTGTAGGAGAGAGAGGGAGTGGAGAAGATGGTGAACAATGAATGTGCATATGTGTCTTAAGCTCACTTAAGTGGGGTGGGTCCTACCGCCACCTCACGCGATTCAAATTAATTCAAATCTCTCGCTTAATCCACTAAACGTCCATTAATTCTTAGACTATTTAAAAACTCTAATTTTAAGATCAACCATGGTCCTTTAATTGTCCTTGGTCAGATGAATCCGAAGTGTTCTGATTGTTTGGCGAAATCACAGTTTTAAGCTATTACGCGCATTGTGTGCACGCTTCTCCAAAAACCCTAATTTCAATCAATTTCCATTAGAAATCATAATTCCTACCATTTATAACTTATTTCCAAACCTAGAGCTCAAAATTCATTTGGCATGCTTTACGGTGCAACTATATCGCGGTATTTTTACCTAGTAAAACATTATTCATCAATTTTTCAGAAACTTGCCTAACCACTCAATTTTTCATTTCGAATCCATTTCCAGGGTTAGATTTTTCCATTTGAGACCTTCTACTCACATTTTCTTTCCTAGGATTACGTGTTCGTCAAATTACCGTTTTACCCTTTTTATATATTTTGGCCCAGAACTCGAGATTTTCACTAATCCTGCCCCTTTAATCCATATTTAATTATAATTATATGATGTAGAAACACGAGGTGTTATACTAATCCCTAGGATTTCTTGAGATTTATCTATTGTAATGTTTTCTTCTTCCTTTAGCAGGTTGACCTGCTCGAAATCGAGTTTCACTATGGGAACTTCGTCAAAACTCAAAAATAGCATATTTTTAGCGAGTTTCATCACAAAATAACCCAGAAACAACAAACCAACGAGATTTTAATATAATCTATCTCAAAAACAACATACTTTTTAGCCATTTTTGAGAAATTTCGTAAGTTTAAAAAATGTTTTTTCACGGTATGGGTCGCGGTTTTTCTTGACACAAAAGTTGTGATTTTTGTATTAAAAATAACATAAAATAGTGGAGAAATAATAGGGGAACTAAAATCCTCAAACCAATTTTCGTTTTACATCAATGAAACAATATCAGTTTAAAGAAAGATTGAAACTTTCATAATATGAACCCTATATTTCTTAACAATACATTCATGAACAAAATTCCTTCAACATAGGAAACGATTTCAAATAATATTTGTGTCAATCAATAACTAAAAACTTATTTTTCAAAAGCCTCAAAGCAATTTAAGGTTTCAATGTATCGATTGAAAAAAATTTGAGAAATTTTTTAAACTTTCATATAATAAAACCTAGAAATTCAAATTCAAAATTTTCTTAGAATATTCAATGAAAATATGCATATGATATATGTTTAGAAAACTCTCATTATCTAGAATATAAATCCCAAGATTTTCAAGATCAATTGCAAAAAATCCAAACAAAATTTTATCATGAACTTTAGGTTTTATATGCAAATTTAGAATTATTTTAATAAAAAAAATTGGGTCTTATAATCATATATGCATAACTTTGATACCAAACGAAGAAGATAATTTTTAACACATTGGTCAAACCCAAGAGCAGAAACGAGAAAATTGTAATGCGTGGAGGACTATTATAACTTTAGATATGTGAAGAATTGTTGCTTAGTAATTTTGAATGTTTGTTAAAAATTATATTATGTTTTACTATTTGAGAAAATTATATTAAGTTTTACTTTTTTTATTAATTTCATTGCATTTCTTTGTTATTTTTTTTATTGACTCTTGTAATTTTGAATGTTTGTTAAAAATTCATATGGTTTTTTAAAATCTTATAAATCCATATTGTCCTTTCAAATCTTATAAATTCTATTAAAATCTTTTAAAATCCAATCTTATGAAATCTTGATTGAAAAAAAGTCTTTAAAGTCCCTCCAATTCTAAATAGTCTTTTAAAATCTATAAGATTTCTTATCTCAAAAAATCTTTTAAAATCCTAATCCAATACACTCCCTAAGTATGACCGATCATACTTCAATCAAGAATGTATGACCGGTCATACTTAGTGTAATTTATAAAAAGAAAATTGTAAACGGATCCTTCTCCTACAACAAAATATCTTAACAACTACAGATCGTAGCCAGATACATAAAGCTATTGCAACCCCATCCATTCGTTATGTACATATCAATTTCATATGGTATTATCGGCATAATAATACTAATGCCCCGTCTTGATTTTTATTATGATTTCTTTTATATGCCACACAAACACTCCTTTTCACTCACATTCTAAAGACAACACTAGAAGACCTTAATACTTATCATAACTACTGTAATAATCACATAACAGAAGCCATTTTCAAGCAAAAGCATTTGTCTCTCTGCCATGCAATCATCCTAATAAATTCATTCTTTTTTTAAAGCATTTCTTTTCAAAACTCTTAGAGCTGTTTTGTAGAGGGATAAATTTTAGATTCTCAGGAAACTCATTGGGAATCCTAGTTATCCACTTTTGGTACAAAGATTCTTAAAAAATTTCTAAAAAAATGAGATTCCTGGGAAATAAAATTGTGAATAAGAATCTCATTAAATAATACCACCAAGTTGGCGTTCTTCTTGAATTCCCACGTGGTGGAAATTTTTTATATAATTTATAGGTCATAAATAACCATGCTTTAATATTTTCATGACTACCTGGTCGTGATACTCTAATTCACAAAATCGTGGGTTTCTCTCTTCCTTTTCACGACACCTTTATTGGGTTCCTCTCTGCTTCACGTCACTTCGCTCTAGTGACCCTAGCAATTTTGTGGTTGTTGCAGATGGTAATAGCTTGAACGAAACCGGTTTGAGAACAGCCAATTTCGTTTAGGAAATTTGGATTTGACCTCCAACACCGTGTTTTGACCCTTCAGTGGCATATCAGAATTTTTTTCAAAGATTCATCAAAGGTTAGTTTTGTAAAATCAACTCACATTCATAGAAATCATTGACAATGAATTAAACATAGAATTAGGAAACTTAAGCCAACATTCATGGGAATATTTGGCATACCAAACAATTTCTTGGTAACATTACTGGGAAATTCATTTTTCCAACATATTCCCAAGAACAAAAAATAAAAATTCTCTACCAAACGCTCCTTTAGATTTTCTATGGGCTTG